TCCCCTTTCCCCTCCCCATCTCCCTGTTCCTCTCTCTCCCAGGCTCCCCTTCTCCCTCTCCCATCTGCACAGGTCACATTAAATATCCGTTTGATCGATTGGCTACTAAACGGATATGCTTAATATGCTACGGAGTGACTCTCACTAGGATACGATCGAGGAGGAGGGTGCAGGGGAGGTCACTTTATCTCTCCTATGTGTATTGGAGTTCGTTCGGTCTCTCTGTCTGTCTGTCTGTCTGTCTCTGTCTGTCTCTGTCTCTGTCTCTCTTTCTCTCTCTCTCTCTCTCTCTCTCTCTCTCTCTCTCTCTCTCTCTCTCTCTCTCTCTCTCTCTCTCTCTCTCTCTCTCTCTCTCTCTCTCTCTCTCTATATATATATATATATATATATATATATTTATATATATATATATATATATATGTCTATCTCTATCTCTCTCCGTATCCGTAAGTTTCTGGAAGTTTTTCGAGTTGGATGATACTTTAATATCGAATAGATGTTAAAGTCATTCTTATCTTTGCTGGGTTACGATATTCCTTTAAAGTCCTCTAAGTAAGCTGACTATCAATTTGACAAATTACTGACCATCCAGGCATCAAAAATCCCATTCAACTGTTAACCTTTTGTGTTCTTTATTTGTGAACGCGCGCGCTCGTAACAGCGATAGCACACTCACGCCCTCGCCGCCACAGTGCACACCCTAAATGTCACTCTTTCCGTTATCACCCGCGCCCACTCTCGTATTACCATTATGCACACCCGCACGCACCCTCACTGTCAACACCCGCGTCCTTGTTTGAACTGCCTAGCATCTACTGAATACATAAACACCCTTAGATTATCAGTCACCCTTGCATTTCGTCATCACCCTACGAGTCGTAATCACCCTTACCTTTCACGTCCTAATGCTGGTACTATCAAACCACTGCATAAAAGATAATAAAAAATAATAACTAAAAGGAAACCCTATAAATCAACCTTAGGCATTATATAAACACTGAATTTTCCCAAGAAACAAAAATTTACGGGAAGCCACAAACAGCCAAGACCGGAAACGAACTTTATAAATCGATTATAGTGTTTCCTTGAAATCGCGTCCCCCCCCCCACACACACAACCACACAAGATGCAGGATATGTGTCTATGTGTATTCTGTCTGCCACAACGCCCGCTCTTTTGTCCCGTAAAGCTACCAAAGCTTCTCTGGTATCTCCCTTGGTATCTTAATATGAGCTTGATGAGTACCATGCACTGTTCTCGATTATTACGTGCAATGGCATTAAGTTTCTTAATTCTTAAGTACATCGACTCATTCTTATTTATCTATCGGTGTTTTAATGCCCTCTGACCTCGTTGTTCGTCTAGTTGGGTTAGATGTGGTTTGCGCTCGTATTAATTTCAGTGTGTTCAATTGCGGTTTGTTTGTTTACCTTTTCATTTCATGTCTATATTTAGATCCATATCTATGCATTTCTTCATCTCTCTCTCTCTCTCTCTTCTCCCACTTCATTTTGATTTATCTTATGAACGCTAAGCACCATATTTTTTACCTGCAGGTATAATCTGTGTCCCATCTATCACGGCCAATCGACTTGCTCTTTTGGCATCACGAGCCAAAATAAAAAGGCATCTACTCCTCTGCCCGAGTAAACAAACACAATGGCCCATCACCTGCCAGATTTCCAATCGTCTAGAATAATATTTACACAGCGAAGCCCTCTCGCGGTATTCTCTCGGGTCTTGTTGTCACGCTCTCACAATGCTGTGCAGCGGGCTTTTCTCGTGGCTCCGAGTCACTCGCAGGGCATCCTTGGGAAGGAGCTGTCTGCCGAGCAGCGGCGTGCTTCAGGTTAAGGAAATAGCGAAAACAGTGGACGAAAGACGGACACCCCCGCGCGCCCTCGGGAGATGCATTCGAGGGTTTTTAAAGGCATTCCGTAGAGAAACTGCGCGTGAATTTGAGTTATCGGTTCCTCGGCTCATGGATTGCGAGGCATCTGTCCTTGTCATTAAACATCATTCTCAACCCCCCCCCCCTTCCCTACCATATCAGCGACGATGTAAGTGACATAGGGACATGGGGGGGGGGGCACAAAGCCAAGTCTTGAGTCATATCATAAGTCCGTCTCATCCAATTCAACAAGTAAATGTTATTTTATTAATCAGTCTTTCTCCTTGTTCCTTGTATACGAACCGCAGACAGGCTGATGGAGGGAAATTTACCAAATTAACCGATTCAGTTCGTTCATTGAAACCCGCCACAACCAATAATCATAATTACAATAACAGCCCAAAAAAAGAAAAAAAGAAGTCACAAATCGCAATGGAACTCACTCGAACCAGAACCTCGTCCTTGAAAGCTCACTCTTATCCGCAGAAGGGCGAGAGGAAGGGTTAGGTCAGTAAGTAGGTAAGTAGGTAGGTCGGTCTGAGGAGAAGCGACAGCGCGCACGGCCTCACACACTCGCACTGGGCTCACCACGCGCACACTGCCGCCTGC